CCCCTGCCCCTGGCCCTGACTCTGTGACTCTCTCCCCAGTGGACGTGACTCTGGATACAGACACGGCAAATCCCGAACTCATCCTGTCTGAGGATTGGAAATGTGTGAGATACGGAGACACACGCCAGGATCTGCCCAACAACCCTGAGAGATTTGATCGTTGTGTCTGTGTCCTGGGCACTGAGGGGTTCACGGGCGGGAGGTGTTATTGGGAGGTGGAGGTGGGAGACAAGACTGTCTGGGACCTGGGGGTTTGTAGGGAATCTGTGAGCAGGAAGGGGATAGTCACACTTATACCTGGGAATGGATACTGGGCCATGGTGCTGAGGGATGGGGAATACAAGGCCTGCACCTGCCCCTGGACCTCCCTCCCCGTGACCATCTGGCCCAGTCGGGTGGGGATATTCCTGGACTATGAGGCAGGCGAGGTCTCATTTTACAATGTGACTGACAGGTCCCATCTCTTCACTTTCACTGGCACCTTCTCCGGGACGCTCCGCCCCTATTTCAGTCCTGGTCCCAACACTGGGGGTGAAAATGTGGCTCCCCTGATAATCTGCCCGGTCCCAGCTCAGGCCGGAGGGAATCTCGGTCCCTGCATAGACTGACACCTCCCAGCACTGCTGCTCTTCCCGCCCCCCCCTGTGGTGGAGGCCGGTTACTGCAGGTAACTGGATTTTTTGTGCTGACCAGATGCTGCCAGCTTCCCTTTTCAGCTGGAGTAGAAAACCGGACACCTGGCAACCCCAGTCCAGGCTGGGTGAATGGGACCCACTTGCTGGAAGGAGCCAGACAGCTTTTCCCCCCTCCCCCTGTGTTTGCTCCACCCCTGGCACAGGGCAATGCTGGTAAGAAATACTGCCAGACAGCTAGTGGTTTTTGTTGCCCTCACCTTTCCTCGTCCCCTGCCCAGGGGTAGCAGATCAGGGCAGGCTCTAGGTTTTTTGCCGCCCCAAGCAAAAAAATGTTTGGCTGCCCCCAACCCCAGCCCTAGGCTACTCCCCGCACCCTCCTGCCGCCCCAGCCCTGGGCTCCCCCCTTGTCCCCCAACAGTGCCTCCCAACCCACACACACCCTGCCACCCCTGCCCTGGGCTCTCCCCCCTCCACCTGCACCCTCCTTCCGCCCCAGCACTGGGTCACTGGTAACTCGCTCCCAGGGTGGGTCATTCAGCAGGAATTTTAGATGTGCACAGAACACAGACAGGATTGGTTCCCACTTGGTTACAGAACTCTAGTAAAGTGGAACAATTTTCAGCTTGTGTGATTGGAGAATATCTGGATGCATATTATAAGACTGTCCTCCA